GTTGGTTTCTATCAAAATTGACAATAGCTTTGATCACTTGATTAAGGTGATGTCTGCCAGGTATCATTACTATAAAGTTATTTTCTCTTTTGTAATAAGAAATTTGTGGCAAGGTATGTTGAGATTATGTAATACTCCCTTCCTTTAGCAAACTTTCCCTCATCGATTTTACATTTTATTATTTTCTCATTCCCTCATTCCTTCTTTATTAGTTGGTGTTCTACTTTAAGGAAGAACTTTTCCTTCTCCCTCATTTATTTCTTTATTCATTTATTTATATCAGTGTGAATTCATGGATTCTTATTTTATTCAAATTGTCCCTGTCCAGTGGGAATCCCTTCAAGCTGGCTGCTATATCCTTTAGACATGTTTCCATGATTCCTTGAGAATTTTCTTTCTTTAGGTCAATAAAATGTTCTAGGCTCATCTTATATCTTTCCTGCTCCTGCTCAGGAATAAGCCATTTCTCCAAAGAGCTTTGATTACTCTTTGTAAGCCTTTGAAATTTAGTCTGAAGGTAATGGGTGATCACTGATGCAGTGTACCTCTGGGAGTGGCGTGTTCCAAATCAACATTTTAAATTGACCTTTCTGGTAATAGTGTGCAGAAAGGACTGAGTTATGAAACTGGCAGCGGAGAAAACAATTTTTAGTCTATTCTAGTAATTTCGACAAACCATAATGATGGCCTGAAAACACTGTCAGTGAAGGAGGAACTAAGTAACTTTACAGTGGAGAAAACTGACAAGCAGTACCTCAGCCAGATGATCAAATTCATCATCATTTAGTGATGTTTTGTTGGTAGTTTGTACCCTTAATATGATGTGATAAAAATGGCACTGACCTCAGTAGTCTTCCTCCCAAAGACCTATAACCCCAGTATAATCTTGAGAAAAATATGAAACAAATCCTATTTCAGGGACATTCTACAAAATACCTGACCAGGATTCCTCAAATCTGTCAAGGTCATCAAAAACAAGGGAAGTCTGAGAAACTGTTAGAGCCAAGAGAAGCCTGAGGAGGAGACCTCACAACTGAATGTTATGTGGTATCCTGGAATAGAAAAGAGACATTAGGCAAAAACTAAAGAAATCTTTAGAAAGTATGGACTTCAGTTAATAATAAAGTATTAATGTTGGTTTGTTAATTGTAACAATTATCATACTAGTATGACATAATAATGGGGAAACTGGGAGGGGTACATGGAAACTGTATTGTCTTCGCAATCTTTTTGTAAATCTAAAACTGATCTAGTTTATTAAAAAACACTATCAATGGAGATGAAGAATTAATGTATTTTCTAGCATTGTTTAGGAGGTTGAATCAAACATGCTAGGTGACTGAATTGAGAAGCAAGAATTGTGATGACTCCTAGTGTTTTTAGATGAGCAATGACATTTTTGCACAGTACATAATGGTAGATTGCAAAGGCTATAAATTTATTTCAACAATGCAGGCATTGTTCAAAATATTTTGCAGCTCTTTTTAGTCTTTTATAAATTCTTTTGAATATCTTATAGTCTTTGAAGATATGCTTTAGTACATACTTTTGTGAGAGACAAAGTAGTGTAGCAATTAAGGGTGTGACCTTAGGCAAGTTTCTCCACCTATTTTATAAATCTCAGGATGGGTTCCTGCCAGCCACCAAAGAACCCCCCAAATAACAAAACTAAATCTCAGAATGGGTGTAGCAACCTGTATTGTAAAGTTGCTATGAGCTAAATGAGATTATGCATGTAGTAAGTAAGAGATTTTTGTTCTTTGAGGGAGAATTTGATTTTTGAAATTAGCTGTAAGTTATTTGGGGCCTGGTCTGGTTAAACTTGGCATTGATATTTTTGGCCGAGAGCAAGATGAATAATTGGGTGGGACTAATTTTTGTGTGGCGTATATATTTTTTTAAAGATAATTTTAGATTTAGAGTTGCAAAAATAGTACATTGTATTCATTTGTTATGTCTTACTCTCCTACAATCAGTGACAGTTCCTCAGTCTTTTCTTGTCTTTCATAACCTTGATACTTCTGAAGAGAGCTGGTCAGTTATTTTGTAGAATGTCATTCATCTAGGGTTTGTTTGATGTCTGCTCTTAATTAGATTGGTGATATGCATTATTGGGAAGGATGCCACAGAGGTGATGTGCCAAAGTACATCTTAACAGGGAATGTATAATGTCAGTATACAGTACCGGTGATGTTAACCTTGATCAGTTAGTTCAGGTGCTGTTTCAAGGGTGGACTTTTAGTTAATAATAATAATATATTAATCTTGGTTCGTTAATTGTAACGATTATCATAATAGTGTAACATGTTAATAATAGGGGAAACTAGGAAGAGTACATGGAAACTCTGTACTCTCTTTGCAGTCTTTTTATAAATCTAAAACTGTTCTAGTTTATTAAAAAACTCTATTAGTGGGGGCTGGCCCGGTGGCGCACTGCTATACTGCGCCACTTGGGAAGCGCAGTGGTGCTCCCGCCGAGGGTTCGGATCCCACATACAGACCGGTTCCCGCTCACTGGCTGAGCGAGGCGCGGGAGCAACACCGAGGGTTGCGATCCCATTGCCGGTCCCAGTCCGGTACGGGGGCGACACTGAGGGTTGTGATCCGTTGCCGGACACGGAAAAAGACAAAAAAA